AGTCATTCAAGTCAAGTCAAGGAGTGGCTTTATACACCTCGAGAGGTGGATATTCAGCAACCACATAACCACAGTGTGTCAACAAAAGTGGAAAGAAACAGCAACAATTTAATACAGCAATTAAAGGACGTGAAAAAGGATAGCAACATCAAAAACTAATTGCATAACCGGGTGTTTATGATTGATTTAGTTTAGCGTTTGGAACAGATTTCCTGCAACGAGTTCGTGGTCTGTTAGAAATCTGGCGAGATAAAGGAAAATAGACCACCTGTAACCTTCAGTGCGTGTCTTTGTGAGTGGAACAGGTGGATGAGTGAGAAAGGCACTGATTAAGCGTGGAATGATAAGGATGGGAAATATCAGATATAATCTTGTTGGAGAATGTTTTACAGGACTTGATGTGATGTGTCAGCACATCTTGTACCAGATTTTCTCGTGGTATGAGACTACAAACTGACAGAAATTTGAGGGATCGGGAAATGAGTTTGAGATCCTTGTTAAAAAGACCAGGAAAGATAACAGGGGACCCATAAAGCCAGTGAGGCAAAATGCACACAAAACAAAACGCCTTATGAGATGGTTTGGAATGGAAAGTGATTTAAGACGTAAAAACATAAAACGTGAGCCTACTGACCTTCAGAAAAACGACAACAACGTGGTCAGACTAGGTGATGTTTCGGCTGAAAATAACGCCAAGGTAATTTACAGACGATTGTCGTTCCATCTGGTCACTGAGGATAGATAAAGGCGGGCTGGCATTTGACAATTCATCATACTTTCAGACGTGTCGGAAATAGTTGAGTAGTCTCAACAAAGGAACCTCCGCACAAGCCCCCCAAAAATGTAATGATGTAACTTTTTCCTTTTTGAAAGGGCAAAAGTATGATGAATTGTAGTAGAGTGGTTTGAAATGATAAGTTGAGGTAGGACAGTCCGAATATTATACTGTCTGCATACTTAACGAGAAGAGAAGAATCGCTCACAGGCATACAGGAAATGTAAGCAAAAAATAGAAAAGGGAATAAAATAGCGCCTTTTGGGTATTTAACAAAGTTTGTCGATCAATTGTGTTGAAATCATCACTGTACCAAGAAAGCATATGCGTACAGCCTTGCTTTTCTTATCCAGGTTGGATGAAACAAAGTGGGACAGAGAAGCAAGGGCATCCAGGGTACCACGGGAATGGGTGTATGCAAACTGGTTCGGGTCACCACCATTGAATTGTGTGGATAGGGTCTTAAGTAGGAGCCTTTCAAACATCTTCAAGACGACTGAGGTGGAGGCAATGGGACGGAAGTTTGATGATCCTTTCTTAGATACAGGGGTGATAAAGTAGAAGTATCAAAGATTGCCGCGTTTTATGCCCGTGTATTTGAAACATAGTCCGTGCTTGCTTGCTGAATGGGTACCGGTGATTGGATCAAATTGTTTAAAACCTTTCTCGATTGTAAGAATTATTCTCTCACCTTAGGTGCCTCCACATTCCTGTTAGATCCAGTTTCGTATTTGGTTACTCAAAATGAGTCAGGTATGATTGCTTTTACGACTGCACTACGGTGCGCTGTCTTTCGATTATTCCTAATTTAATCAGGAATCTCTGTCGGGTAGATGCCTGCCGAGGAAAAACTATCCTTAAACTGATATCTATGCTTAACGATCATCAGGCATCATTATGGAAGCGTTTTCCTCACTATATGATATGAATGTGCACGACTAAGAAGGAATACCCGAAAACAACTGTTTGCTCACGGACTTGGTTTTTCGGTAATTATTTTATTCTGCTGTTTTTTTCGCTGCTGTCATTCCGTCATAATACATGAGCAAAATATCCTGAACTTTCTCAACATGAGAATGTAGCTGATGTTAACGAAACGCAGCAGCATGTGTAATTTTAAGGGATAATCTGAAACCAGTCATTCTCAATGAACAGATTGCGAATGAGCCTTTGATGAATAAATTACTGTTGGTTTGGAGATTTTATCGGCTTAAATAAGTACACCATGGTTTAGACCAAAAGCCATCACCTCTGTTTGCCCATTCAACTCTCAATTCTCTCACTCCGAGGGTCTAGGATCTATTATTGGTTATTGCTCCGCCAGCCGATTATTCTTTGGGCTTGTTTCCGATCTAATGTGTGACAGTGTACGTTGAATTAGTCAGTTCTCGAGCATAAAGCTACTACTGACTTGACTTGACAACAAAAACCAGTTTTTTTCTATTCATAATGTCGGAATACGGGAAGCAGTATTCGGTGAAAATAACCCAGTTAAACTTCAACAGAAGAACCAGATTGGGAAAAAAGAGAGAAAATGATCAAGTATGAAAAGTTTTGCTGGAAAAATGTTGATTTGTTTCCCTTGGAACAATTAAAGTTGGAGTGGATTTTTTTTGAGGAATTGTATCACTGTAACCAGTGAAGTTGGATTCGCACCGCTAGTTATGTCCGTATTCTAAGTGTTCCCTTATGCCTGTGGCCAACCTCACGTTTGGACCGATCGGATGAGCTTTGTGAATCGGTTCGCTATCCTTTGCAGTAGTCGGATATGTTAACCTTTGTAGAATCTGAAGAAGGGACATGACTTTATGCACAGGAATTCTAGGACAACAAATAAAGCAAAGTCAACACCGTTTATGATTCCGGAAAAAGTTTCCAAGGGGTGGGGTACTGCAAACGATTCCGTGACTTGATTTTACTC